ATAGTCAATTGAATTGGATTGGATTGGATATCGTCGTGACTGTGAATAATACAGTGCGACGGTACTAAGGGTTTGAACTTCATTACTGGAATGCTAGATGACGTTAAAGTAGCTAGATTTTGAGTTTTTTACAAACAATTTTTTATTCTACATAAAAATATTTACTGTTTGCAATAAAAAGTATCCTATGTTACTTCTAATACCTCCAAGAACATGTGTACAAAACTTCATGATGATCGGTTGAGTGGTTTTCGTGTGAAACCGTAACAAACAAATTTATATTCGCATTTATAATATTAGTAGTGATAGGGATGCTTTCAATACATATCTGATGAATGTACTTCCATATAGGTGATACAGGGCAAAGTTATATAGAAAAATTACTTGTTCAAATTATTTTGGCAATAATCTGATTGCCTTGAAAGAACACTTTCAAATGTACTTGTATCTTACTACGTAAGCAATACAAGTCAAATAAAACTTGTTTTTCTGCTTTAAAAAATTATTTGTAAAAAACCTTGTATTCCTGCAAGTGTTTATGTGTGATCAGTTGAAATTGTATCTAGTTAATTGAACGAACTAGCACTATACCGGTTTCGCTCGATTTATTTTCTCATTCTGTACTGCAAGACTAACAATTTTCCTAACTACAAGTATCAAAATCATTACGTTTAGGTCACGTTTTCACATGATTCTTTATTAAAGTGCGAATTGCCTTGGAAATAACATCCAATCTCGAATTAAATGAGAAAATCAATCTCGTAAATCGAAACACATCACTTCCTAGACAATTTTTTTTGTTACAGCTTCTGTATCATTTAGTGAAATTGCTTATAATTTTCAAGGAATTTCGCCAGCTATGCCTATGAATGCTGTGTTATGAACCTACCACGTTCTATATAATTTTCGAATTCTTTTCAATTTGAGGTACATGCAACCGAGATTAGTGGTAGAGCAATTGTTGTTATCAACTGGAATATTACAGCTTCTTCTGTGGTTTATTTTTGCGAATTAAAAATACGCAGTGAATTGAGCTGGAAGATATTTGAAAATGCAACCTATATTGTTAGGAACCACACGTTGGAAGGTAAGACCTCGTTAGTCCTTAGCTCCCATAAGTTTCGAATTCTGAGGGTTGTCGTATGTAGGGGTGCGATAGCTGATTAACGGAAAACATATTTTGAAACTTATATTCATTATATCTTTCCAATTAATTATCAAAATCACCGCTCATCTTTTGAATTCACATTTATTCATTCAGTTTAATTAGGATACAAATTGGACGAACCCATTTGAATTCACATACTGAAATAGATCGAGAAACGAAGTATTGAAATGATTTTTGAAGTATATAGTTTGCATTCATGAGAGAGAATAAAAAATAGTAGTCGATGAAGTCTTCATGAAGAGACATGTCATCGCCTTTAGCAATGCATTTTGGGTTCAGCCCAGGCACCACTGATGAAACCCTGGCGGGTCGAAACCGCTGTCTGTTGTTGAATCATGAATGCGTTTTGTTTTCAGCTACTATGGTGTACCGTTGCCTTACCCGTTTCTTGATCCAGAGCAAAAAAGTTGTACCTGTGGCCAGTGACACGACTAGCTCTTATTCCGACGCCATCTACAGAAGTTTCTAGAAATATTAATACAACTTAGTTACACTGGGATAGGAGACACTTCAAACATACCAACAAAATAAGGGTTTACTAGACTTTTAACTGGGTTTTGCGTCTGCAACTTTGAAATAATTAATTGAAAAATAATACTAAATGATCACTATTGAGCATACAATGTCACTGTATTCAGAAATCAGAGCGTTAAAATCCTGAAATTTTCTTTTCTTTCTATTTGTTGCTTCACTAGGAAAAATAGCAAAATATAGAGTTTAAAGCTTCAAACTTCTGTTCGAAATCCTATTTCCAGAAATCATCAAAGAAACTCAAGGCTTTTGTCTTACACTCCTCCATATGGACACATCTGATTCTTGAGATACAGGACTTCGACAGTCTCAAGCAGTAGCCACCTCAGACCTATGTTTCTATGGTGCAGCCAGTCTCGTCCAAGACGAACTCCTCATAATAATTAAAAGTTTGAGTCATCTAAAGGAACAATTCGTTCAGGCCAGTCTCAACTCCCTACGCTGTAGGTTAATGGACTGACAAATATCAAAAAATAACTACTTCCCTGGCTAATACTACAAAGGGCATTGGATTATATCCCACAGTGCAGTATTCTTCACTGAAGTTATTCCTGCATATGTTGTTGGCAATACAACTGACGTAGTAGATTTTCAATTATTGGAACACACTTGTAGACCAGTTTCGGGCTGTTTGGCCACCCGTCAGTGCAAGGTAGTGTCTATCATCAACATAAAGTCGATAATTTTCGATAATTGAAAATCGAGTTCCTTCAGAGTATCATTCCTCGAACTAGGCTGAAGCGGACAACAAACAACAGGTTTGTCATCGCCCCATCTGCCTGTGAACGAGGTGACCAACCGCATATTCGAAATTTACCCAATTCATCGTATGAGGAATTCCTGAAGGAATAACAAGAATACTGAACTGACACCTCTAGGATATAATCCAACGCCCTTCGTGGTATTAGCCACAGGAGAAGTTGTTTTCTGATAGGTGTCAGTCCATTAACTTACAGTGAAGGGAGTTGAGACTGGCCTGAACGAATTGGTCTCTTAGATGATTTGATTTATAGCTAGTCTTCAAGTGTGCCCACTGACTATACCGGGTGTCCCAGAGCTTTNACCGAGAAATGAAAAAGACTGTAAGTTGAACCAAAACAAACATGGGCGTGCCATTTGAAAAACAAAAGTTAGGGGTGGTTTCTTGGGGGTTGTTTACCAGGGGGTGGATTTTGCTATGCTGCATGAAAGTGCTTGTGTTCTCCTATGATACATATTTTTGTTTTAATTTTTGTTCTGCAGGTAACTGAGATATCTGCTGGCCTAAAAGCTCTGGGACACCCGGTATATGAAAAATTGAATATTTTGGATTATGAAAGGAAAACAGAGGTTCCAGCTAGCCCGCAGGAAATAACTACCGGTGATTTGTTGATTTATAAACTAAACCACATTATTTATTCTGCTTTCAAGGAAAATTGAAATTTTGAAGATAGAGAATATGCAAAGTAAGGTGTGTTGGGTAACAAGGATTTTAACAGTTGGGAATGGATAAATAACAAACTTTAATATAGTAAGCTCTTAAATGAAAACGAAAGACAAAACATATGCTTAGAATCAGAGAGAGCTCTCATTTGGATAATAGTTCGAACTCAGTAATGTTGCAATAGATTGAAAACTTTCGTAGTTTCTCACAGTTCGTCTTAAAGTATATTAGTAGTATGATCTATCATTCAACACGAATTTAACGAAAACTTATTATAATTATTTGACACAATTAGGGAATTATTTCCGTTTATCTATCGAATATATAAAAAATAACAGTGGGAACTTATTAAAAAAAAAAACATCACAAATATGGAAGTATATTAAAAACTAAGCACGTTGTTTCAAAGAATAAATTCGCTGAACTCAAAAAACGCGAACGATTTTTTTGTTTTTTATTTTACTGGTTTTCATTTTATGAAGGTTATTCCTTTTCTTTTTGTCAAACAGTTTTTCTGGAACTCCTATCCTCTTCTGAATATCGAGTGATTTACATAATTCTCTGAAAATTTACTGGGAAATACAAAGAATTGTATTTCGAATTGCCCTGTGAATACTACAAAAATCTATGTGCACAGTTGAAGAAAGTGACTTTATTGAAAATATTTCGAGTAGTATCAGGAAGTTCGATATCACCCATTGTTTTGAATGAAAATCAATTGTACCCCTGCTATATTCGTCAGCTGTTGTCATTTTGTCGGTGGTTTCTTCAACAATTTGTAAGCAAATTCCGATAACAAAATTGGTGAATTTTTCGTTGAATATTAAGTACCTCTTAAATTATCACTTCAGGACCAAAAACGACCTTCATTCTCTTCACAGTGAAAGCTCAGCTTTGTATCAGAAAGTGGGATCGTTGCTTATTTTGTATGAGTATGATATGAGTAGAACACCCTTCTGCAAACATTTTGATAGGATTTCCGATGAATTCGAGAAATCATGAAAAAACACCATTTCTTTTCAAAATTTTTGTAACTTCATGATTTCAAACCCCCATTTAATCACCACTGACTTCATATTGTCAACATCAATCTCTATGAAAATGACGACTTGATACGTCATAACTTCATTCTCAGTAGTTTCGTAGATGTTTGGAAAAATTTTCCTTTTCACTCCGTCTTTGCCTAGCCAGTATCTTGAGAAACTGAGGAATTTTCAATATATGTTCATGGAAACGTTTGTTCGTGACCCTCTGAAATTGATGATAATAAATGTATGTTTTCTATATGTAAGTGCAGATAGAATTTTTGGAGCATTCTGTTGAATCGTACACATCTTTACTCTTTTCGATTTGAAAAAATATCAGATCAGACCTACATTCCCTGTCATAAATGATGAACGAAGAGTTTGTTCTACAATTCCTACAATTTTTCCATTTCAACATCCAATGCTGAAGTGATCTCTATGATAGTCGAATACTAAGTAGAACCGTTCATTCTTTGTAGGCTGTTCATGAACCAAAAACCTGATCTCTAATGTTGCTTTAATAAAATTCGAGACATCACTTTGTTGGAGTTCATTGTATTACAATCTCTATAGATTCGTGACCGAACTGCAGGCTACATTAAATTATTGTGATGAATTGCTTAATCACTCTTAGTAGCTTTTTATGATAATGAAATATGAACAGTTTCGAAAGTAAATGGGAGTCTCAGATCAATCGAGATAAAATATAACATTAATTGGATCATGTCGCTTTCATAATTAGCTCAAAGAAATTAAAATTCATTTACTCATTATCGTAATCTCTCAGATCTGTGGTTTTGCTTTACTGATGAACATCAGATTAATGGCACAAATTCGTAATCCAAATTAGGTAATAATATTCCTATTTTCAAATACTCACCTATATTCACCTAGGATGACTTCTGTTATCACTATTTGGACGGAACATTAGTATTTCAGTTGAAAATGTGTTCGAATCTTATAGTGGAGAAGTGGCAGCATTATTATATATTTTTCAGAAAGATGTAGAAAAAGTATTGCCAGGTGTCCTAGTTGTGCTTTAATTAAGTTAACAATTTGAACCAAATGGCATGCCCAATGACTATTCTACCGTTAACTCATCAACTAATTATCAATTTCAAAATTACAAAACACATTTATTAAACGAGAGTTAATCAACTCTATTTCGTCTTTTAGTAAATATTTCGAATTCCTCAATCTACTAATTTACGAGCATTCCAAAATATTGGGTTTCGAATCTTTCTCTTTCGAATGTTACATATCATAGTCATGAATAAACTCTCGCGTCCCTGACAAAAAAAGGTTCGGAAACATGGAATTGGTGATCACATTCGAAAAACGACGCGTATGCTCTTTCATGCTTCGGGAAAAGATTGTTCCCGTTTGACCAATATGAAGATTTAAGGAAGAATCACAAGTCTACGTATATACTTCAGATTTATCCGACCTTAATTGTTTATATGGCATTTTCCTAAATGACTTTTTTTAGAAAATAAACAGGTTTATCAGTGAATCCATCAAATGGCCCATGTCTCTTATCATCGTTTTGTTTCTTGAAGGTGGAATGCTTTTTACATGATTTTATCAAACAACGGTTAGAAGGAAGATATTTTCCACTTCATTCTTCCTCCTTACTTTGGTAAACTCAACAATCATATCGCCTCTTTTTTGACGAAAAGCCTTAGACGTTGCTCACAGAACAAATAATAGGCACATAATAGGCACACAATGAAGACAAAACTAAGCATATAGCCTAGGAACCTAGGAACTAGCCTGAGCCTAGGAACCTATGCGACTGTATTTCAAGCGGAAGTTTACGCTATTGAATTGTGTGCGGGGAGATCGGAAGAATCCAACCTCGTACACAAGTCAATGAAAATATTCTCGGACAGTCAAGCGGCGTTGAAAACTCTTGGCTCCTACCGAGCAACGTCTAAATTGGTAGCAAATTGCCAGAAACGACTCTCCTCGGTAGGAAGACTCAACAGATTGTCTCTGGTCTGGACTACTGGCTATACTGGCCTGAAAGGCAGTGAGGCTGTTGACTGCCTTGCAAAGGAGGGTGCGGCAAGCAGCTTCATCGGACCAGAACCTGTCATTGGCATCGCTTTAGGCTTTGCCAAATAAAGATTGAACACCTGGATGGCAAGAAAATTTATGGACTTCTACCCTTCGAAGCTTGATAGCATACAGTTGTTGGACTACAGCTGGGATGAACTATGATGTCTAACAGGCCTTCTTACAGATCACTGCCATTCGAATCATCATATGCAGAGACTTGGACTGTCGGAAGATAGTGTGTGTCGCCTCTGTTTGAAAAATGATGCAACAGCAGAGAATATACTTTGTTTCTGCCCCGCTGGGGACCGAATCAAGTTTTTAGAGTTCGGCTGAGCCGTACTCTCACCATCTGAACTGAAAGACCACCCACGATACAAACTAATCGGCTTCGTTAAAAAGCTGGGTTTATTTGGTCGAGTGTGAATAGGTGTGAGCCACAATAAATCCTTGCGGGTTGCAATGGAGTATCGAATAGACCAACTCACTTTGGACCTTACCTAACCTAACTTAGTGAGCTGACTTGTGGTTTTTACTCATAATATTTTATCGGCCATACAATCATTTGGGATCCTTGAGAATCAATAGATTCGAGAATTCGGCACCTTTACTGAAAA